CCGAGATAATGTGCTAAATCCAAAATGTTTTGTCTAACTTCAGGAAGGATATTAACTTCTGCATCGGTATTTTTTATACATTCTGGCCATATTTTTTTTCCAAACATGGTTCATTGTTGTCGATTTCAATTTCTTCCAAGATATACTACACTGGGGCCTCGCTTTACGGCCTAGATACGTTCCGCAAAACTTGGCCGTAAAGCGAAAAGCCGTATAACGAATCAATTATTCTAATACGTATTCATACAAATTCAATGGAATCGGTTCCAAATTTAATAAATATATAATATGGTTTCATCCAAAATGCATTTTATTTTTTTATTTTGTTTAAATTATAAACATATCTAACAAGAACATAAATTTTACATAAAATAAAAAACTTCAAAAACATTACATAATTTTCAAATAAAAATGAAACAACTAAAACCTACAGATCACGGTCACCATCATTTTGCGCTGGTGGGTTGAAAAATTTGTCTTGTTTGTTTTGCCTTCTTGTCTATTTTTTCCTTTAGTGATTTATAACAGTTAATGGCTGAGTTAATTCCTCGATACACATAAGCGCTACGTTCGATGTCAGGATCGTTTTCAAGGAAGATGTTTATACCTTGTTCAAAATATGAAAAAGCGCTCGACATGATTTTTGATGTTAGCTGTTTGGATACAACAGGTTCTGTATCTTCATCAATTGCCGGCTCTGCTTGCAACTGAATGAGTTCCTCATATGAAAGGGGTTCCCTATCAGTTGCAAGTAGATCCAGCACATCAGATTCGTTTAAATCTTCAAAACCGAGATTGCGCAATATATCGACATAGAGAAAAAAAAAGCCGTTATAGCGAAACATTTTAGGCCGTATATCGAAAACGTACCTTAATTAAAGAGGGCCGTTATAGCGAAAGGCCGTATAAAGAGCGGCCGTATAGCGAGGCCTGGGTGTAATGTTCTCAACAGCATCCTTTATATTATAGTTTTTCCAAAACGTTTGAAACTTTGAAACGTAAAGATATATAAAAATTTTCATTTTAGATTTTTTTGCGATTACTGTAACTTGCCCTACGCGAAGTTAAAAAAGCCGTTATAGCAAAACATTTTAGGCCGTATATCGAAAACGTTCCTTAATTAAAGAGGGCCGTTATAGCGAAAGGCCGTATAAAGAGCGGCCGTATAGCGAGGCCTGGGTGTAATATTCAATTGAACATATATTAAATTTTAACGAATAAAATAGAAATAAAAAACACACTAGTAACTATTAAATCAACTAATTAATAGTAACAGTAAAATACGCACTAAATTATAAAAGAACATTAATTTTATTTACATTATAAATGTTATGTAAAATAAATAGTAATACGCATTGATAATGCTTTTGTAACTACTGTAGCAGTTATAAACTATTTATTATAATTAATGGTTAAAACACTTTCCTATATGGAAAATGTATCAAATAAAAGCACATTTAGTTGAAAGTATTATTACGCCCCAGATTATACCACAATGCCTTTTAGGTTTCTCGGAAACCTATGCGTAAGTGTTCTCCTAGTAGAATTTCTCATTTTTGGATAAACAAATTATATCATATAACAGCTGAATAGGTAAAACAAAAAAAAGAAATGTTGATAAAAACATTAATATATTATGAGGTTGCAAGCCTCATAAGTGACATGATTTATTTGTGTATTACTATTGGACTAATTTGACTTAACTAACAACGTCGGTTGTATGGATGGCAATCGTAGACCTTACACTACACAACTGCACTGTAATGTAAGGTCTTTGATGGCAACCCAAGCAGTTGTTCAATCTTTATGTAATGAATTTTATTATTAGAATTCCTTCAATATTGATAAATGTTTTATTGATGCATGTGGTACTTTTGCAATAATTTGTTTCATCTAAAAATACAATATGCGCGATACATTTGTTATTTTGGCACTTGTGCCATTTGGAGGTTAGGTTTTAGCATTTTAACGAATACTATCAAGTACTCTGTTTAATCACACACAAGTTTAAATTTCAGAAATAATTAAATAATGATTATAATTGTATGTACAACTTGCCAGAACATTATGGTGCTTTTGATCTTTAACTACTGAAACATAATGGCCCAGTAAACAAGCGATATCGCCACCACGTGGTCTAAGAGGGCGTCCATTAATAACGTGAGCCTTAAAGGGGAAAGAAAGGTTTGACAAAAAATTACGAAATATCACGTGGAGATGGGAAGGGTCTAGTAAGACATTGCATGCATTTATTTTTTAGCTCAATTTAAAAAAAAAATCATAATTCTTATAATTTCTATGTACTTGGGTTGGGAGGTGTTTTCAGATATCCCCAGGTATCACCAAGACCAAAAATCCATAGAAATCGCTCATGTGATTAATGGACGCCACCTAAGCTTGTGGTTTGCAGGTTGCTACCTAAGAACAATATTAATATGTATATCAATTTAATTATTATCAGTGTCCGACTTCAATCTCAATAATGCAATTGTCATCATAAGTTGTATAGCATGTTCTGTTCTCTGTTGTATACAAATTTGTTTTGAAAAATAGTTTCAAAATGATCATAAAAACTCCGCGAAGAATGTTTCCAAGAAATACCTTACTGGTATAAAATCTCAATATAAAAATCATACATAACTAAAACTAACATTTAAACCTTTACACTTTCATCTCATTTCTTCTCAAATGTTGCAACTCCTTTGTACATCATTATAATATTCATAGTCAGGTATTTCATCTTCTCTATTGGTCTTTTGCTGACTCTGCAACGTGTCAACAGGTTGTTTCAAATCAACATTATCAATAGATGTTTGCATGAATAAACTAAGTGGAGAAAATTGTGGACGTGAGATCTGTGTGCAAAGTCCGGTTAAAGGTGTTCCTAAAGTCTGCATTCGAGGTGGTTCAGTTTAAGGTTCTGAACTGAAAGATACTCAGGAATGTCTTCTCCAGGCAGGAAATCTATATAGACACATTTCTCTGGTTCTTGGAATATCCTATAATAAAAAAATTGAGTTGTAATAATAATTTGTAGTATTTCTAGAAACATTTAAATATTGAACTATGTCATTAGATAAAATATGCACAGTGTTGATGGTTATTAATCAAATTTAAAATAAATATTTAAGACTTACCTATTAGATCCATGCAAGGTGAAGTTTGATGCTTGGCAAGCTTTGGCAATCTTGGTGTGAACCAATCAACATATTTCACTTTTGTATGACAATAAAATTAAGTATAAAGCTGGTAAATTGAGCTCATTTTACTCAATTCTTTCAAGACAGTAAAATAATTAATAAAAGAATTTAAAGAGTAAATCATTTTAGTAAACAACTCCAATGAGTTCACTTTTTACTTGAAATAGTAATACTGCAAAAAATCCAAAAATTACAATATTTTTAAATGATAACACTTAATCCTAATCAATTTTTCTCAATTACTTTTGTAAACCAACAATTTTGCAGAATACAGCAACATATCCATTTTCAAATAAATTAATTATAAATGACCAGTTCCAATATATTATTTATATAGAATAAACCCTATTCGATGTAAGTAAAAATACCTGAAAATACATAAGTTAATAATTTAAATCAATATAAATCATTAAGAGTATTTATTACGAGGTCAATATGTACAATAATGGTATTCAATCACATAATTCAAATATTACTTTAATTTTAGGCAATAAAGATCTCATTATGTGTACCCAAATAAAAACTATATTAGATATCCAGTTATTTTCATAAATATTATTTTATATATACAAGTTTTACAACAGCTATACTAGTCCATAAAACTAGCTCATACTCATAAGATCATATATGTGTATTACATATCTACTTATATCTTATATTAAATGTTATACTAGGGCAGTGGAATATTTTTTTAAATTCTTGACTTCGAAACAGAAAAACTGATAGATCAATATTTCATCCAATAGAAAAATATAATAAAACTATATCAATTATATATGTTTCCCTGCATAGTACAATATTGTGTGAGAAAAAGGACAAAGATCAGGTCAGGTCAGGTTTATCATACTAACATTTAGAAACTACGGAACACATAATACAGGGTTCATTCAGAGTAAATTTAATAGTGAAGGAGCTATGCAACATACAATTTCAGACTTCTGATGAACCATTTTGAACCTGGGTATACAGCTACCTTTTAAAAATACGAGATATCGTTTTAGGTAGTAAGTACTCTTTCGAATACAATTTTAATACTACTGTATTGTATCAGAAATGCGGTCTTAAATATTTCTTTCCATACCAAATTCTGATTTATTTTATACAAATTTTTGAAATTAATTATTATTGTATGATAAGTCAATTAATCAAGTCAAATAATCATTACACAAACTATTTTTTAAATAAAATATTTAATTAGGAGCAATCAAATTTAAGCACTCTTGCTCGCATTTCAAAATAAATACATTATTATTAGACTAAATATTGTTATAAGTAAAAACAAACTCTAACCCATATGCGTATAGAGCATATATTAACATTCATAAACCAAACAGCAAGTAATATTATTCAATTATCCATTACCCTAAGAAGTATTGTCATAATATTTGATTTATATGAAAAACGTATTATAATTGGGTACAATAATAAAAATTGTTAAAAGCCTGTCAGTTCAGAATTTCTGAACATTTAAGGCACAAAAACAATATTTGAAGTATAGAACTAAAATTCGTATCACGCTATATATTTTTAACCAAAAAACATCCATGGAAATATGCATTTTTATAGAAAAAACATAACAAATGCCCTTACATTTCAATATGTAATCATTACATATCTTTTATTATATTTCTTAATTAATACCTCATTAGTTATTGTATTTTTTATTACTACGTTGCATACTTTTTGATTATATAAAACTTCATACATTTGTAAAAAAAATGATTACTGTACTTCTACATAAAATATCTAATAGATTATTATAATATATTAACTGTTTTCATAATTAAAATCTAATTAAGTGTCTATATTTTAAATTATTTACATTGTGGAAGGCATGATAAATCACCTTGGTGTTGAAGTAAACATTAGGCAGGATTCAGTATTTCAAATTCGGAATCAGAAGAACTGTGCTCGCATTCAATAAGACTCTCTCTTGTCTGAAATCAAAAAGATAATGTATTTTCAAGCGATAAAAATTATACTAAATAATACTGTATGTAAACAGTCCAATTAAGTATTCACAATTTATGTTAATACAGCATATGAGATTGCAAATTGGAAAATTTTGTCAATATAATTGTTATAATTAACCAGTTTACTATGATTGACTAGTATCACAGTAAATCAGTGACCATTGGCTATATGGCTAGGTTCAAAATAGTAGTTGTAAGTGAAATTTTACCTTGAGGCAAGTTGCCAAAAATTATTTAACTATGTATTTAGATAACATTTCAACTGCTTATTTTAAAAATGATTTTTTGTTTTCCACCAAAAACTAATCAATGCAATGCTTATAGTAAATGTAATTGTAGTAATTCATTTTAACTTAATTTACACATTTTATTCTAATTCATGTTTTCTTCTAAAACTTTATTCTAAAAATGTATTTTAATTAAGTGTGCAATCAACAGTGATCATACCAAAACACGAAATATAATGTATTTATATGGTACTAATTTCAAATATTAATGAATTTATATAATTAAACTACTTTCATAGGACTATAATATTTTAGGATGCTCGTATCCTTCCACAGCAACTATTTAAATTGTTACTTTTATATGTATAATATTGAATAGATTTTTTCCCCTTTTTATTTTATATTTTATTTTATTTTAATTTGGATGCAATAGTTTTATTTTAATTTATAGATTTAACTGTCATCTTTGCCATCCAAGGTGTTACCAGCATCAACAGTTCGATTCTGACAACACAAAACTGTGCGAACTCTTCAAAGAGCCACATTTAACTGGATGAAAATATAAAAAAGTGTTCAAAATATTCTAATGTATAAATAAAAATTCTATTATACCTTTGGGTCTAAATCAGCTCTCACAGCAACCCAGCCAGTCTTACCATGCCGACCCAAAGCACCACAAGCGCTTAGTACTTCCTGCAATAAACCACCATCAGCTTCACTTGAACTGCTGCTGTCTGAATTCGTTTCACAATCTGGACTCTTTAAACACTGCTCAACTGCAATTCATTCAATTATCATTTTAATAAATTACATTAGTACAAATAATTAAATACTATTTCATTTAATGATCAATTTAAAGTATACAGTAAAATTATATGATTGCTAGGAAATTTTTTGTCCCGAATTTTTGAAAAATATATGTTGAAATTGATTCTTTGCTATTATTTAACAATAAACTTACAACAACCCATCAAATATCTTTAACATGTATCTATGCGTTACAAAAAAGAAAATTGACGAATACAGAAATCCAATGGTGGTTTAAAATAGGTGGCTCTCACTTTTTACTTATATTTTCAAATTTACAAATCAATTGCAAAAAATTCCGTTAACGAACAATCTGAATGCCTGGCACAAGGAACCAGACTCGACATAAAAAAGACACTAAAAGCGATTTATTTTACTTAAGTATCTAGTACAATTATGAAGACAATTGTAACAATTTTCTATATCGTTTGAAAGCGAAAAAACAGAATAGAACAACAACATTTAAAAATAATACTTTGTTCATAAATTTTCAATTGTTCATATGTTCAATAAATGTTGCTTTCACTCTGTTCTCAAAAGCGGCGACAGCGGTCGTATTAATATAGGACATTGACGCATTTTTTTTAATCCGCCATAATAAAAACGCGAATGAGGGAAATATAGGAATATAGATTATATCATACTCACATCTAATTTCTTCACTGAAGCTCTTTTCACTTGCAACTCGCACCAGTGTGTAAAAGTCTTTTGAAAAATCGCGTCCAAGCGCAGCTACTTCCGAATGCAGACTCGAGTTTGAAGTACTCAATCCGCTCGGCAGATTAGATTGCGTGTTTAAAGACAATCTTGAAAAATTATTACTGAACTGATCAAACAGCGTGTCATCAGAAGCCAGATGTGGCAAACTAGCATCGCAATTTTGTTTGGACATGCCTCTATGAAGAAAACTTGCTTGATTCCATAACATTTCGCTACAATCTTCCTCTAATCCGGCCCCTAAATCTTCAACTGACCATGAAGCAGTGCCAAACTCAACACGATCTTTCAATTCATTGAGATGATGGTGTGGATCAAAGTTTGCGCGATTTAAATTCGAATCAGATTTACTCCATACTCTTGTGTGTAAAGGTAAAGTGCTGCAGAGATTGCTGGAATGATATCCCGGCAGACTTTTGATAAACGTGGACGGCGCTTGTGTCTCAGGTTCTTCAATTAGATCCTCTAATTCACCTAGAAATAAATCATATATAATATGATTGATAAATAATTAGCAATCACGCCCTCAAAATTAATTATTGAGGCAGAAAAATAGTTGATTTATAAATATTAAATTATATCATAACAAAATTGTAGAAAAAACTAAAAGTTAATGCATGCAGTTTTACAATTGATGTATACTTTGACATAATTGATATATTTGGTTTGATTGATTTTTTGAAAGACCAATGATTTGTTGTAAAACACTTTATTTGTAATATTAATTACGTGTTTATTTTTAATTAAACTACAAATTGTACTTGTATTTACAATATATTCAAAGTTTAATATGTATTGTATTGATTGATTGATTTTATAATGATTTTTGATTTGATATCTTTTGTTCTTATATCAATATGGCATGCTTTTATTTTGGCGTAAACATATGTCATAAAAAACAAATGACATAAGTTTCTATTTGCAAATAAACTTTGTGCATATAAATAAATATTTGAATCTATAAAATATTCATATTGGTAGAAAAAAAATGAGTGAAGAGCAAAACTCTAGAACTGAGACTAAAACAGCGGTTAAACCAAAAATAAGACATGATTGGTATCAAACGGAAACCGACGTCACTGTCACTATTTTGTTAAAGAATGTAGACGAATCAAAATTAAAGATTGATTACGGATCAACATCTCTTCATGTAAAGTATGAAAAAAATGAACTTGATTTTCAACTCCCAAATGACATAGTGCCGATATATTGCACACATAAAGTGACTCCATCAAAAATAGAAGTGAAACTTGTAAAAGCAATGGGCATGAGATGGGAAAAATTAGAAGCAGATGCAGAATTACCAAAACCAGTCAACCCTATCAAAGCAAATGAGAAATGGGAACAAATTGTAAGGGACTTTGAAGAAGAGAAACCACAAGGTGATGCTGCTCTGGGTGCATTGTTCCAGAAACTTTATGGAGAAAGCAATGAAGATGTTCGCAGAGCTATGAACAAGTCATTTATGGAATCGGGTGGTACCGTACTTAGCACAAATTGGAACGAGGTCGCCAAAGAGAAGGTTCAGGTTCGCCCACCAGATGGAATGGAGTATAAAAAATGGGATTCATGAATTTATTTTTTTAAAACGATTAAGAAATTATTAAATTTCATTGAGAGAAATCCTTTTATGTTTCATTTTTCATTTCATCTTCATTTTTCAAATATATTATTGTTTATTATTTCACAAAATTATGAGGATTATTTCAGTGTAGAAACATAGTTTTGTAAAAATCTTTATAGAATTTGATGCAGGGTTTAGGAAAGTTAAATTTTCATTATCTATATTAAAATACCTGGAGCTTTCGTGGAAGTGCAGGCACAGAACGCCTCGGAAGACATAGTGCTATAACCCTCATCTCGTGGCGAACCTGACGCGGCACTATCTTGTGAAGCAGTCACAGCCAGCTGCAAAGCGCGCAGCAACGACAACTGCTGCTGGCGAAGTTGATGTTCGCCCGCTGGTCCACCATTAGACAAACATCCGTTGATGCCTGTGGTTGCCGTGCTGGTGCTGCTGCCGCTAATATTGCCGCCACTGGTACTGCTACTCGCGAAACCAGGAGCCAGCATTGCGGCGAGGGCGCAGTTGCGGCGTTCCAGGTCACTTGAGCGGGCTTTTAGGGCAGATACTTCTTCGCGCAGCGACTGTTAAAGAAAATTATGATAATTAAAAATCACTTTATTAAGTAAACATATCTATTCAATCAAACCCAAGGTAGTAGTCACAAATAAGAAAACAACATATGCTTATATAATTATGATATTAGTAAATCAAATTGATGTAATTGAGCAACTATTGCTTATGTAATATTCTAGAGGATTTTTATAAAATTTTGAAATACTCTGAAATAAATTGCTCATTCGTAAATTGTTTTAAATGGAAAATTATTTAATGCTTATAAATGATAAATAAAATACACTATAATTTAGCATAAAAATATCTTAACTAATACTAATTTTACTATTGCTTATAATACATTATTTTGCAATATCCTATTTTATACCCATCTATACAAGATTAAGATGTACATAATTAAATTAACAAATTAAATATATAAAAATATATTATCTTTGAAAACATTTTAATACTCTTCTGATGTTCAAATTTATTTATTTTTTCATTAACTTCCCGTAGGGTAAGTTATAGTAATTTTATTTATTTTTTATTTAGCAATATATACATTTCATATATATCCATATCTCAGACAGGCAGGTGTGCCTGGTATAAGAGATTATGGTTTGCTTTATACATTTATGCCTATGCATATATTATATATATATATATATATATATATATATATATTCAGGGCCGGTCCTACCTTGAATGCAATGCATGCAAAAATGCAGGCGCACGCCTTAGGGGGCGCTAAATCGAGGTTCGGAAATTAAATTTATAATATATTATTTATATATTTTTTAAATATAAAATCCAGAATACTTAATAGATCATAATAAACAATCCAACTTAACTATGAGACACAAAAAGCATATTCAGTTTGCAATGTGATATCAATAGAAACAATTAACTAAATAATAACTCTGCAAATTTGTAAATTATTGTTCCGTTTATTGTTTAATATACTTATTAATTTTTTTCTTCGTTTGAAGTTAACGTGGAATCGAAAAAGAAATTGTTTAGTGTTCAATCCCGTAAGAGCAAACCTGCGAAAGTTTAAATGAATTATTGGGCGTTATTGGTGAAAAATGGCGAGCTGATTTAGTTGAAATGGAACTTTAATAAAGAAATATATACTAATTATAATAAAGAAAATGGAACATGGGGAATTAGTGCTCGAAAAATGGCTTGTTTATTCTGAAAAATTAAATTGTAATTTTTGTTCTTGTTGCAAATGTCTCACATCTGATGAACGTTGAACGTTGAAGACATGCGTAGTTAGGTTTATGGAGCAAATATAAAAAATGGAAGCAAAATGTACTTAGGAACAAATATCTTTAAGCTTTTTTTACACATAATTTAATTATTAACTATTCGGAAATAATACAGATACAATTATAACTTGTTTGTTTCCGTATAGTTAAGGGAATAAGTAATTTCTTTGCATATTTTATTAATCTTTGGACAATACATAAATAATACGTTAAAAGTTTAACTTTAAAACAACAATCTGACACTCTCTATCTGATGGGAAAGTAAAGCTGAATACAATTCGGCCCTTACGATACCAATAAGGAGAAGTTTACGATTCAATTTTGGATATTGTAAATAGTAAAAATTTAATTTAAATTAAAACATAAAATACGAGTGTTATGTTTAAAAATCATACGTTTTTTGCTCTTTTGGCCTGATTTGCTCTATAGAATAAATCGCATAATAAATAAGTTAAATGTTTCAAAACCCAAATATTAATATTACACATTTGAGAATTTAAAAATATTTGATTATGATCAACCCGCGAATCGCCTCGATTTTCTAAATAAATTTATGTATCTTATACGCTTTTAGATTATATTTATTTTTTTGTGTACTAAATCCAGAATGACTGAAAATTATTCAAAAAAAATTAACGTAAATGTTCATATAATTTTAACGAAAAACTGTTAAAACGGTTAAAATTATTGGGGGGGGGGGGGGCTAAATCAAATCTTGCATGCGGGCGCTGAGAACCCCAGGACCGGCCGTGTATATATTGATCTACTTCATATTTCATCACTACTACATTACTAAAATATTACATTTATATAAGAAATTAAGTCATATTTAACTAATAAGGTCAATCTTGTTTATATCTGGTATAGTTTTTTAATTCAGTTTTAAATTTATTTAAGTTTGTTAATAAATTCATTTAAGTTTGTTAATAATAATGTAAGCAAGCAAGTAATTTATTTATGATGAAGATAATCGCAAAGTTACCATCAGTCAAGAGCCAAGTAATGCATTTGAGTATTCAAGATACAAACCCGCGATTCTTGTTGTTTGGGTTTTGTGAAAAGTGCCTGTAGATAGATCCACATATTCACCGTTGTAATTCGAATTTGTTGTGTTAATATAATACAAAACTCATTAAATAGATGAATAAGTTACATTTTGTAAGTTTAGGATAGTATAAAGGCTGTCAAAGAATGAATATCAAAGTAAATGCATATTTAATTACTTTTCTGTTAAACGTTTGTAACTTCACAATTTTTAAATTTTGAAAAAGAAAACTAAATTTTAAATTAAGAAAAAAATAGTAGTTCATAATACAAAATAACATCTCTTATTATAAAATACTTATAGAAAAAAATTGTTGGGAGCAATTGCAATTAATTTTAAGCAGTTCTGATTATCTATGAAGTATTATCTATATACTAAGCAATTTTTTAACTGGTGCTTATTAAAGAAAACACTATTAGAAAAATAAAAATAAAATTGTTATAATTTTAAACTGAGTTAACATTCCTGATAACATAGTTTAATTCAATTAGTTTAAATTTAGGGGCCGACTCTGCCGTAAAATAGACCAATTTTAGTATCATTTTATATGAGAAGAGTTACGTGATATAGCCTTGCCATAACATTGGTTTTACGGCAGAATAGGCTCTTAATCAATTGAGATATCAATGCTACGAATAATTGCAGTTAATAAACTCTTTCACATTAACATTTTGCTATGGTCAATAAAATAATGAATTCGTTTTCTGTATGAATAAAGACCACAACTAAAATAAAATATTATTCTTAGTCAAAGTTACTCTTAGTAATAATTCTTATACAATAATAGTAATAATTCTTATAGAAAGAACTAAAGGCGATATTTTTTAATTATTATTATTTGACCAACAATCAGATCTATTTTTAATGTTTTATACGATTTTGTAATGTATTTCCGACTACGTAGCTTTTTTAGAAGGCAAATTATTATTTGACCAACAATCAGATCTATTTTTAATGTTTTATACGATTTTGTAATGTATTTCCGACTACGTAGCTTTTTTAGAAGGCAAACCAGTGGTTGTTCTTTCTCTTTGTGATAACATTGCTAGATATGCATTTCTAATAGTGATGTGATGTATTGTAGCAATGTGCCAGAGGGGCTATTTTCACTTGGAAACATATTTCAGTCTATATTTTTAAGTAGAAACAAATATTACTACTGCTTGATATCATGTGGTACGTAGCGCGAATTAGGGGGGTTTTTAGGGAGGGGGTTTTGACAAAAAATCACGATATATCACGTGGGGGAGGAAGGGGTATACTAAGATATCACGTGTATTTATTTTCACCTGATTTTTTTTTAAATCCAAACATTTTCAACAAAAATTTACATTTTTTTCTCGGAACTAAAAATACACGTGATGTAGAACCTTCTGGTTGCAAGACTGAGATTCTTACCACTGCACTGCGAAGATTTTAAGTCGTTTCACAGACTAGAAATACGTTGTCTAGTTACCTTCTGTTCGAGAAGCGTTGCCACGACCCTTCTGCCGACTTCATCGAGACACCGTTCGTATTGCCGCGCCTGTATTCGCAGCAGCCGGTTTTCTCCGCGAAGTCTCGAAATTGCCGCTTCTTGTGCCGCAGCGGTCGCCCTGTGCTCCCGACTGAGCTGCTGCGAAGCACGCTCTTGTTCGCGCGCCACGCGCTGCATACTGAAATTATATTGAGTATTACATATAAGACGCTTGCACTTGGTATAAATAATATTTTTTTTGTTCGAAAAATCATGAAGTACTCCAACAACAATTTAGTTTTATAATTATAACTAAATTAATATATAATAATTATAATTTATAATTATAATTATCTCAAAGACAAAGTAAGGTATGGTATTTTAAAGTAGAAGGCACAAGGGCTTTATCAGAAGACATGCGGCCACATTGTTAATATTTTAGTATTTGTTTTTTGTTTTTATTTTTTTTTTTTTGCTTTAGGTTTTATTATATAGTTGAACGGAATATAATGTTTAAGTATGCGTTATTTAATTGCGTCATAAGTTATATTGTTATTTTCAAGTAAGTTTCAACAGTTGTTTTTATGAAACCTTTAAGTTAAAGTGTTATATGTGTTGGGAGTATAAAGGACCAAGTGCACCTTTACGCTGTCAAAAGTGTAAACAACTAGAAAAAAGTAAATAAAAAAGTAGAAAGAGTTATGAAATCAAGTATACAAAAAAAATTTAATTAATTATGAATAGAATTATTTAAGCAACGTTTATTAACGTGACTTGATTTTACGTTCTACCGATGTATTGATTCTTTATATTGAATTGTTTTATTTTAAACGTATGTTTGTTAATTTACATCTATCAATAATACAGTTTTCGATGAATTAAATTACTTTTGTAATTTAATTAATAATTTTTGTTTTGTTAATCAAACCTTCATTAAGGTTTTATAATACAAAACTGTTGATGATCATACAAATTAAACCTAACTATTGAACCTAAATACAATGTGAATAATGAAAAAAATAATTCAATAAATAAATTGTAGTAAAAATTTCATATATGTATTGTATTTTGGGAACTAAATCAGTTATAAACTTTTATTGTTACGATAAGCTTATTAAAAATAAAATATTGAAATTTTAAAAATACTAATATATAAATAAAAATGTTTCTTATAGATTTATTTATGGATTAATATTTTCCATGATTCTCTATTAGTCTTTTGATTGAATAAACTGAATCAATACACATATTTTATTATAAATAATATAGTTTTATTTAGCGCAAATTAATAATACTTACTGCAAGAGTTTATCTTCCAAATTTTTGTCATTTTGATTGCGTTTCGAAGCGGCCACCTCCTGCAAAAAAATAAAATAAAATTTAATATTAGAGTAACACGAAATGAAAAAGTAAATTAAGTTAAAAAAGCAATTTTAGAAGAGATAAATTAAATAAATAGTTAATCTAGCTGATGAATATTTTTGACAAATGCCAGATCAAGGTTATATACAGTGTTGTCTCTGTGAAATTTATATTTTGCATTGGTTGAATAATGTAGCTACTATTTTGCAAAGTCCCATTAAAATTAAAAATAAGACCTTGGACCTGTTTGCCCTCTGGCCGTCTCATTTTTTTACCGACTATAGGGTAAAAAAAAAGCAGGAGGTAAATTTTTGAAAAATAGCAAAAAATACACATTTCTACAATGATGATGATGATAGTTTTACTGAACATAGTCAGATAGTATGTTTGATATTTGTTATTTGTTGTGATATAGTTGGTTTAGTTTTCACAATATAATTGCTAAAAGTCAAATTTGAGCTTCGTGTCCCTTTCTACACTAAATATCATAAATAGATATGATAAAATATTCAATGTAAATAGTTTTCAACTTGCTCGTTCAAGTCACTATGCTTCGATAGCATCAACAAATTTCGAAACTCAACAAAATCGTCCACCTTGAAAATGAAATCGTTCAACATGAAATCATCCACCTACGACTTCAAAAACGTAGAGAATCATATTTTGTTTAGAATCAAGCCTGTAAAAATATTTCACCTGGACATAGTATGCAATCTGAAATCTTTTAATTACCTTCGCTGACCAACCCGTTGTGTGCATGAGTGCATGTCAGCCGAACAACATTATTTAACAGATATGAAAGCATACTGAGCTGTCTCGAACAGAGTTTAGAGATCAGCAACAGACGTAGAACAAAACCAATTAATCCGTCGTCTCTATGTATTCAATTAGTTTGCAATAATATTGCAACTTCAATTACGATACATAACTTATTAGCAGTGACAAGTTTGACAAGCTCTTTTGCCATTTCATTTAATACCGTCCATCGATAAAATGATTTCAATTACAGATTAGCGGATAATATCGCTATTGATTATTGAACTAGAAATATATGCATTCGCTTGTGCTGTTCCTGATTGCATTTCGATCGTACAATTTTATCATGCAAATGCAGTTACAGTAATTTGTTTAATAATAAATCATAGTTAACGGTTTTAATTATGTTGCTATTTTCATTGCGTGCACTATAATGATTTTATAGACACTTAATTAGTGCTAATGATTGCAGTAGTTTTTAATTAATTTTTCACCACTTTCTTAATTACAATATTGAAAGTATAATTAAAGCTCGGTTTGAAATTATACATCACTATAAAACTTGAGAGAATATAAAATTAGCAAAAACATAAACATCGTCTTCGGGAAGTTAAAAAAAATATACCCATATAAATAAGTTATATAAAATTTATTGAATAATCAGTGAGATATGCTATAGTTTTATGATAACGTAATTAGTTCAAATACGAATCAAGTTAACATATTATACATAATTAGGTGCATTTAGTTGGCAAAATTAATAGGCCTAACAACATCGATTTTCTATTTAGTTTTATATACTAGTTTTTATATACTAGTTTTTATATTGTTATCGTAGAGTTAATATAATAGTTTTTAATCGAAGGGCCAAATTTATTATTAGAAAATAAATGTTTTAACAAAAGTCAGTAGTCATTCTATCTACAAAAATGTAAAAATAGATGTCTCTGTGTATGTGTGTGTGTATGCCCTATGCATTCATAAACCATACATACATGAAACCCTCAATTTTCACATACCTAAATATAATTTATAAGTATACGTTATTTAATTATATTATGATATGCATTGCTATTTTTATCTTAGATTCATAAATTTTTTCATATAACCTCTATAAAAACTTACATGCGGTTGGAGTGAAAAGGAGCAAATAAACCTTGGCAAGTGGCAAATATGTGAAAAATAAGAAAATAGTGAATAGAGAGATAAATTAAATTCATACTTATTCCAACTCTGCTGAAGAATATTTAGGTATAATATTTGTAAAAATGTGTCCGTGGAATTTGCATTTGGCATTGGGTAAATTATGTAGCTTTTATTTCGGAAAATCGCTTTTAATTAAAAATAAGACATTGAATGTGCTATGGGGTAAAAGAAGACAAACATTTTTTTGCAAAAATAGCAAAAAACATATTTTTATATTTAGGCAATAACTGGGAAATTTTATGATCATATTTCGATAGTTGTTTGTTTGATATGTGTTAGGGGTCGTCCATTAATCACGTGATGCTTAAAGGGGGGGAGGGGTAACCAAAAATCACGAAATATTACGTATAGAGATGGGAGTCTAGCAAGATATCACGTGTATTTATTTTTTTACCTGAATTTGAAAAAAAATCAAAAAAAAATCACAATATTTTAACATTTTTGCTAGGTTCTATGAACACTCGTGATGTGAAGTAGAGGAGGAGGCTATCCCGTATCACCAAGGAGAATGGAGAGTTTTAAAAATTCTTAAAAATCGATCACGTGATTAATTGACGCCCCCTTATGTGCTGTGCTATGTTGTATGTTATTTGGTTTTTACAGTATAATTACTGAGAGTCAAAAAATATTGATATGCTTATAAGCTTATATTATATATTGGAATGCTGAATGAGATATTTCACTCGATGATGCAACTCAACAATCAATCACAAAAAGTACGTGCGCTATTTTCCATCTTAATAACTACATGTGACAGAATCGCATTTATATGTATAACACAGCAATTCCTGATCGGTTACAGCTAGTTACTGTTTGAAACTAATAATAACATAAACAAAAACAATCAATTGATGCCTTAAATCATATTCTCTACTCTAATAATCACAATTCTGGCACTAATTCATGCGCATAATTTCATATATGTCCTAGAAAGTAGTGCATTGTAAAGTTTACGTTAATCGAGCGAGCAAGAACTTTTTGCTAGAATTCCTTGAAAACAATCCAACAAAAGTTTGGTGTTTTGAAGCTAAGCTTTAACTGAGCCTGCGTAAAATCTTATTATTTATTATACCATAGTTGTATAAGCACATTAAGTTCAGAACAATGACGACGCATACCGATGGAGGTTTCGAACAATGCCCGCGCTAAGGAATAAGGAATTGTTCAACAACAACGGTGAAACGTCAAGACGTCTGGCGCCCGCGTTCCGGGATAGGGAAGAAAAATCGAAAATGCTACTACAACGGGATAACGGCACGAGTATACGACCATAAGCTGATACATGCTTTCAATAATGGATTTATGAACTTGACAAACTTTTGAGTGCTTTGCAGTTTCTGAAACTGATCCAATATAAACGATGGAGAACTGAATAAACTTATAAATATGAACAAGTAAATTGATAAAAAAATATGTGACAATAATAATAATAATAATAATAATAAATATGTAGTAGTTTTCCAAAGGTTCATGGTATGAGACCACCACAAAATCAATGATTTCCTTCTCCTCCCTTGTTTATCATTCCCATTACCGTTTTATTACCATTAATCACTTTTTTTTTGTAATTGTTTGAACAGCAATCAGAACTCTTATATGTTCTATAAGCTGTTGGTTAAGACTTATGACTACTTATTACATGAGAGGCAATCCATCGATTTACCATTCTCTTATGTGTGGAATATTTTTGATATTAGCTCTTACGTCTAAAAGTTAACATGTGATTGGATGTTGCAGCTATGTCCACGAAGGACGACTTCCACTTGGAATTATATTGTGATCTATAACCCCAAGTGAAAATATGACATCAAAGCTGCCTGATGTCGGGCTACGGCGGTAGCGGGAATCGAACCAACGAACCTGGGACTAGTTGCTGCTGGCCCATTAATCACTTTTTATTCATTTTTATTAATTTTTCTTTCCAAACTTCTGCTTTCACGCTTCCTGGTCCTGTGCTTCGACTTTCAATTCCCTGTATTTCCTCTTCTCGCGTAAGTCATCAACCATCTGCATTCCTCTTCTTCCCTTTCCTTTCAGTCCTTCTATAGGGTGATCCAGGGTGGCCCATTTAAAAATTGGAATTTATCGATAGCAACTTGCCTGTAGGCTACACCGTGCGGAATTTGATGTTGCGAAAAAGAGGAAAAAGACTAAGAACTTTGATACCTTTCTAACGATGTATAATACTGTATATGTTTTCTTTACAGAAATATCTAAAACGTAAGATCCCTAGATCACTAAGACCTTCAATATTTTACCTTCGACTACATCGTGTGAAAGGCCTTTTTGCAGAATGGGTCCGATCCAGTTTCCAAATATATAAAGATGCAAAATATTAGCAAACGTAATAAAAGTGCTGGCAATGGTAATGTGGGGCAAGTTGTTACATCGGTCATACTGTTACAATGCAAACATATCTGATTCTGTACTTCACATTAATAATGCTGATATACAGTTTAAACAAGTTCATAAGCGTCCATTATTAAACAGCAATTAAATTTGTGTGGTCAAACGTAGAAGAAAGCACGACAAACTTCTTCATTTATTTTTTGCTGTATTTTATATAGGTAAGTAATTGTGGTTTTCCTATGTTCCTTGTATTTATAACTTTAAATTATCGTAGTAAGTAAATTTTTGTAAACATAACTCGTTCCATACTTTTTAACTTCCCGTAGGGTAAGTTATTGTAATGGGCCGAAAATCGGAATTGAAAATTTTTACATTTCTCGACGTTTTGAAGGTTTCTGAACGTTTTGGCATACCTCAGAAAAAATGGATGTGTGTGTGTGTGTGTGTGTGTGTGTGTGTGTGTGTGTATGTATGTATGGATACAAATTTTCGTCCACGTTTTCGGGCGTACGGATCAACCGATTTGAATGGTTTAAAAAACATTCGATTCCTATTAATAAGGAGAAGAGCTGATTAGTTTTTGGCAAAGACAGGTCCAGCAGTTACGGAGATAAGGAGCAAAGAGTGCAGAAAATAGAAATCGAGTTTTTGAGAGAACGGAGCATCCGATTTGAATTATCTAAAA